AAATAATGCAGCTATAATTGTGTGGGTGTGTTGGTATGGATGTCAGAGTGTGGTTTGTATGTGTGTCATAAAAAAATTGTGTGTGTGTGCTTGTCATATTTGAGAGAGAAAAACTCTACTGCAAATCACAAATCCATCCACTGTGTGCACCAGCGGAGTTTTGCTGGCATCTAATGGGGAAAATTTGGTACTGCGCCCAAACAAAATCTTACTGAAAGCTCATTTTTTGAGATATCAACCTCAAATTTGGAACACAGCTTGTTTTCTAGTAGGTTTAGAGTTCACCATGTTTCATAAAATATGTATTTTATATAAAATATTGTTCATAAATCATTTTCATAAACTTAAACCTCTATAACTTTTTTTTACTTTAACTTGCCGTTCAGTGAATCAATTGTTACACTTAAGTTTGGTCTCATTTTAAAGAAGACCCATGGCAGATTATTGTTGAAGAACCTAAGTGCAGTTTATTAAAACGAAGCAGAATCCAATATCCACACAAAGACTTGACAATGGCTTGACTTGACATGAACAAACTGGACATGAACAGACTCACCAACAACAGGGTTACAAAATCAATACACGACCAGAGACAATGGCAACAAGAGGGCTACTTATAGCAATCACTAATACACGACCAGAGACAATGGCAACAAGAGGGCTACTTATAGCAAACACTAAGGGTCACATGACAAGAATCAACCAATCACAACATGACACATACACAGGGCAGAAATACATGAGGGCAAGGGAAGCATGACACCAACAGCATGAATCAAATTACAAAATAAAAGACATGAAAACAAGAACATGAAACAAAACCCAAAACAGACATTACATTAAGTCTGTGCTCCCAAGCTTCAAATTTTTATGACAGTTTTGACATGGACATTTTTGTCCATTATGGACCCATGTGTAACTTTTTTAATTGACGCACAAGGGTTAAACAAAAAAAAAAAAAATTTTATGCTAACATCATGCATTTTTTAAATCCACACTTAAAGGTGCAGTAAGACATCTCGGAAAATGCTAACTTTAGCCTGATAGCACTGAAAGCGAACACGCCCCACCCTCCCTGCAAATGCCATCCAAAGCCATGCCCCCTGAATGAATGTATGCACACAGACCTTATAGACAGATGGGCGCTTTTTATTTAACTTCTTTTGGACTGATGCATGCAACACCCGCTGAGTGGCATGAAACAGCTTGAAAGGTCAAAGACAATTTTTAATATAACTCCGACTGGATTTGTCTGAAAGAAGAAAGTCATATACATCTAGGATGCATTGAGGGTGAGTAATTTATGGGCTAATTTTCATTTTTGGGTGAACTAACCCTTTAATATGTTTGTTAAAGTGTGATGTTATTATTAGACTGAACACAATCAAATTGTCTTTCTCCAGAGTGAATGCACAGATGATTGCTGAACTTGCTCCTAAACCTCTTGTCACACTGAGGACAATGGCAGTTTATTTCCAGAATGAGTTTGCAAATGCCGTTTCAGGCATGTGTTATTTTTGAAACTCTTTTCACACTGAACACACTTGTAAGGCCTCTCTCCAGTGTGAACTCTGATGTGAGTCTTAAGGTTTCCTTTAATTGTGAAACCCTTTCCACACTGAGGGCAGGTGAAAGGTTTCTCTCCAGTGTGAAATCTCATGTGTGTCTTAAGGTTTCCTTTAACTGTGAAGCGCTTTCCACACTCTTGGCAGGTGAAAGGCTTCTCACCAGTGTGGAATCTCATGTGATTGTCAAAGTTTCCTCTGTGTGAGAAACTCTTTCCACACTGCTGACATATAAAACAGTTCTCCCCGGAGTGAATCCTCATGTGTTTATTAAGGTGTGATTTATATCCAAAACTCTTTCCACACTGAGCACAATCAAAAGGTTTCTCTCCAGTGTGAACTCTCATGTGGCCATCAAGTTCTTTTTTCTGTTTGAAGCTCTTTCCACACTGAGAGCAGATGAACGGCTTCTCTCCGGTGTGAATTCTCATGTGAATTTTAAGACTTCCTTTTACTGAGAAACTCTTCCCACACAGTTTGCAGGTGTGAGGTTTCTCTCCAGTGTGAATTTTCATGTGGACATTAAGGGTTGATTTCTGTGTAAAACTCTTTCCACACTGAGGGCATATGAACGGCTTCTCTCCAGCATGGATTTTTAAGTGGACTTTAAGGCTTTGTTTACGATTAAAACCCTTTCCACACTGCTGGCAGGTGAAAGGGCTCTCTCCAGTGTGAACCGTCATGTGAGACCTAAAACCTTCTTTTCGTCTGAAGCTCATCTCACACAGTTTGCAGGAGTAAGGCTTCTCTCCAGTGTGAATTCTCATGTGGACATTAAGGGTTTTTTTCTGTGTAAAACTCTTTCCACACTGAGAACACATGAACAAATTCTCTTCAGTGTGGATTTTCAAGTGGTTTTTAAGGCTTTCTTTTTGACCGAAACTCCTTCCACACTGTTGGCAGGTGAAAGGGCTTTGTTCAGTGTGAACTCTCATCTGGACTTTAAGGTTTGTAGCTTCTGTTTTATAAGTCTGTGAGTAACTAAAATATTTTTCTCCAGCCATGAGATCATGATATTTCTCATACTGATTTTTCTCTTCCATTTCATCCAGGTCTTGACTCTCCTCTTTCAGCGGTATCAGGTCTAGGGTGAACAGAAACAAATAAAAGTTATCACCAGTTTAATGGCACAAAGATATTAATTCTTTTAGACAGACTTGTAAAACATAAAGTCCAACAACAAGTACAGTAGGTAGTCAACCAAAATGCCTATTACCACTGCATATACTCGCCGCTGTGAGGTCACAACGTTAAATCAAACCCAGTCACATTTGAAACTCTAGATAAAACAATTAACCCTTTAAACCCTAAAGGCATTTTGCCTCACTGAAGGTGTTGTTTTTTCTAAGTGACATACACAAAAATAATTACTCATAACTCCAAGACTGTAGCAAGGCGAGTAAAAAGGTTGGTATCGTTTGACAGAAAACTTTGGTTGCAAAGGCCGCTCATCCGTCCAAGCCGTGTAAGACCGTTCAGCCTGCCAAGACTCAGCAGACATGAGGACGTTCCCGCTCGACCAGACGCTACTCCTTTCCTAAGCGCCAAGGACCCCAACCCAAGGTAGCGTTGGACCTGGCGCCTCCGGCGTCTTCCTGATCTGCGAGACAGGAAGAGGATGGGGCCAGGTCTCACTGCAGCCGGACCACCCCCCAAGCGACCTCTCTTAAGCTTCCTATCACCCCGTTCAACCCTGGGTGCAGAGGGAAATGTGTTTGTTGCGAACTCTGGGCCCGTTCAAGCACCCAAGCAACCAACCGCTGTTACAGCGGGGAAAATAAAACACATACACTTTCAAAAAGAGAGCAAATTTCCTCTTCCATTTCCCACGAGTGCCCTGCCTTCGGGCAGCCAGTCACTCGAGCTAATCCAACCCCTAGCCACATGGGCCGAGGCCTGGCATGCCATCCCCAGAGTGTCAAAGTGGGTTAGGGGATAATAAAACCAGGATATTCACTCCAATTCGCTTGAAGACCCCCGCGCTTCAGCGGCGTGGTCCCCACCTCAGTAGAAAGCAAGGGCGCTCACATCCTGCGTTCAGAGGTGATGAATTTGAATTTGAAAGGAGCCATAGAACTTTTCCTCCAGCTCAGAGCGAGGCAGGCTTCTACAGCCATTACTTCCTCGTCCCCAAAAAAGATGGTGGCCTCTGGCCCATCCTCGATCTCAAACACCTGAATCATGCCCTCGTGAAAAGGTCGTTCAGGATGACTACGCTAAAACAGATCCTCTCGCAAATCCGCTCAGGGGACTGGTTCTTTTCTCTGGACCTGAAAGATGCATACTTTCACATCCAGATAGCCCCCCGTCACAGACGATTCTTGAGATTTGCCTTTGAGGTAGTGGCTTATCAGTACACGGTCCTTCCCTTCGGGCTGTCTCTGGCTCCCCGCCCTTTTACGAAGTGCATGGACGCGGCTCTTTCCCCCTCTGAGGCAGATAGGAATCCGCATTCTCAATTACCTCGATGACTGGCTTGTGCTGGCCCAGTCAGAGGCAGAATCGATGGCACACAGGACCCTCCTCAGCCACTTATGGCGCTTTTCCACTGCGTGGTACGACTCGGCTCGGTACGGCTCAGTATGTCACGGCACGGTTTGCGTTTCCACTGCAGTTCAGTACCGCTTTAGAGTGGGCGGGATTATTCACATGTCGTTATAATTGCGCCGCCTCTACTAACACGACTCCTAAAAAAAACTTTTTCATTCCGCATCGCCCCATCAAGCTCTCGCTGGATCCGCTCCTCTGCTATCAACGAGAGGAACGTCTGTACTTCCGCAACAGACAACAAAACTTTTTGGTTGTTAAAAAAAAGGTGCGCTCATTCAAAACAGTTGCGTTCGATCCTTTGCTGGCTGTGCTGATTTAAATCTAGCGGTTCTTTTGTGTTTGTGTCGCAAGTTCAGTGACGCAGGTAGTGACGATTCTCTCCGGCCAATCCGTGATCAGCAGAGTTTACACGTCACGTTTTGGTAACGGTATGGTTCGCTTGGAACCCCAACCGAGGTGGTACTAAAAAAGTACCAGGTACCAGGTACTGTACCCAGTGGAAAACCCCCAAAAAGTGAACCGTACCGAGCCGTACCGTGCAGTGGAAAAGCGCCATTAGAGCACCTGGGACTCAGGGTCAACTTTGCCAAGAGCATGCTGCTCCCCAGCCAACGAATACTGTTCCTGGGGGCAGTTTTCGACTCAGCTCAAATGAGAGCTGTAGTCACGCCGGAACGTGCTCTGGCCATGCGGAAACTCGCGGCCTCCTTCAAAATCGGTGCCGCTCGCCCTCTCAAAACGTTTCAGAGGATGCTGGGCCTCATGGCCGCAGCGTCACCAGCACTACAGCTGGGCCTGCTTCGTATGCGACCCCTTCAGCGCTGGTTAAACCCGCGGGTTCCATCACATATGTGGCGTCACGGGCGCCTACATATCAGGGTGAGCCAGGCCTGTGTGACAGCCCTGGCCCCTTGGATGGACTCTCGCTGGATGAAACAGGGCGTGGCCATAGGAATGGCTTGCAGGAGGAAAGTTGTAACGACAGATGCCTCCAACACAGATTGGAAATGCTAGCAGTGTGTCAAGCCTGTCAGTACAGGTGCATCTCAATAAATTAGAATGTTGTGTAAAAGTTCATTTATTTCAGTAATTTTACTCAAATTGGGAAACTCGTGTATTAAATAAATTCAATGCACCAAAATCATCACAATTAACAGAACCAAAGACTTAAACTACTTCAGTCTGTGTGCACTGCATTTATTTAATACACGAGTTTCACAATTTGAGTTGAATTACTGAAATAAATGAACTTTTCCATGACATTCTAATTTATTGAGATGCACCTGTATAGGACAATTTTTGAAATAGCGCCAATATCTCACCTTAGACAATACTTCCCCTAAGTATGTACAGTACACTGTTTTTTAAGAAAAAAAAAAAGTAATTCACCAAAATTGATTTTTTTGTGTTCCAAATGTTATATGTTCCTAGAGACTTAATACAGTTAAAATTTTGCCAATATCTTTCTTACTGTACAGTATATAAAATCTGGGCTCGCAAAATCGCTAGCCCGACGTCCCGGGGCTATTGTGTTTTCCAGTCGGGCTACCAAAATGTATCACCACTCTGCCCGACGGGCTATCTTAAATACAGATCTCCCGTGGGTCCTTAAAAACTCCTATAGTGAGTTGTATCAAACTTAAGGCCATAAAAAGTTTTAAATACGTTAAATGTTGTAAGAAATTTCTTAATTATAATTTCAAGAGGTCTTACAGTTGGGGACAGAAAGACAAGAGTCGCGATACGGCTGGATTAAACTTCAAAAGGCAATGATGTCATTGAATAAATATGAGCGCTGCACCTATCACGTCAAAACGCGGCACGGATGTCTTTATTTGAATGAATCTGAAGGGAACCAACGGTCCTCAGAAATGTGTCATTGCCATTTTAATTTAATTTGACCTATAATTCCTGATAAAGCAGCGTTTATGAGCGCGGAGCTGCTTTGTGTTCAGCCGTTACCAGGGAAACCGCAATATTTCAGCGCTCCCAAAGCGCCACCTCGTGGCAGAGAATTAATTTGCATTTCCAACAAGCCTTTCTTTCTGTTTATGGTCAGATCAATGCAAATATCAACTTATGTTTTTACGCAGCAATCACAGTTGTAAATGAGAAAGAAGTTAATGTGCCTTCTAAAAATCTAAGCAATTAAGACAGTAATATTTATACTTATATATAAGTCGTCTTGTATTTAGCAATGTACTAAATCCTTTGGAACACGAAAAAAAAACCCTTTCAGGGAAATAATTGTGTACTGTACATATATGAAGGGAGGTATTAGCAAAATTTCACCTGTAGTAAGTCAACCTGGACACTAGGAACATGCTACAACCTTTAGGAACACGAAAAAAAGCCTTTTGGGGACTTTTTATAACCATAATTGTGTACTATGTTTGTGTATAGAGGTATATATATTTATGTATATTACACTATGAGTAATACAATGACAATGTGTAATTTTAAATGTTAAGTCATTTTAATTACAATACATTGAAAGTTTTAACCCAGTCGGTGGAATTGTCAGACAGTCCCTTAGGCATGGCTTGTGAGATTTCTCCTGTTTAAATTTGCAACTACAATACACATAGGCGGGTTTGAATTTTTTCATGTCGATATAAAGTGGTTGCATATTAAAACAAACACATCAGCTTTTCCGCATATACAATACATACAGGCCCTGATTATCATAACTTCTATTTACCGCTTGCTCCATTCCTGCAAATCAGTTTTTATGAATGAATGACTGACTTGAACAGCCGCTTGCGCCACCTTCTGGTGAGCGACTGACTGCAGCTGGAGATCATCTACTGCTATTCCTGCAGATCCCGGATGTGAAATGACGAATTTTCTGGCGAATTTGAACCACTGAATTTGTGGAAGCGAATTTGTAAAGTGAAATAAAATGGACCGAAAATTGCCTGTCGAGTATTATATTATATCATATTTTTAAACAGATTGAATATTTTGGAAGTGAACTCTAGAACATGAATATGAATTATTGAATTTTTAATCATGAAAATGTGTGAAATGTTTTGAACTGAAATATTCACAGCTTAAATATACAACTATGTTGGATTTCAGCCCCTAAAAATGTAAGCCCTGAAAATACAAGGCATTAAAATGCAAGCACTGTTAATGCAATGCATTATTTTTTCAAATTGTGCTATTTAACATGCTTTTTTGTTTCAAAGACATTTGTCATTATTTTTCTTTCATAGACAATGAAACATTTACTGTGTGATAAACAATTAGGAATAAAACTGCTGAGTATCTGAAATTAGTGCGGGTTCTCTAGTAAAGTGCAGATGTATTGTGTAAGAAGGGATGCACCGAAATGAAAATTCTTGGCCAAAGCCGAAACCGAACAAAATAAAACACTGGGTCGAAGGCCAAAGGGCGAATACCGAACACGGTTTTTCGTGTATTTTTCCCTATGTATTTGACCAATTTTTAGTAAAAAAAATTAATACAATTTGGCCATTTTTGAGACCCTCTTCTTAAATCAGGCATGTGATTGGCTAAAGATAAAAAATA